GCGCTGCACCGTGCCAAACTTTTCCTCCTCGCTCTCTTAACAGATGAAAAAGGAGGCAAACAGCAGACGTTGCTTCACAAAAAATAAAAAATAAAAAACATGTATTGCTTCACCTGCAGGCTGCAGCTCAACCGAGGAGTAACGGCGTCTCTACCGTTATTAAAAGCTGACACGGGTCCGTCCTGAGCGCACAGAGGAGCTTTGTTTACGTTTGTAACACGGAAGTAGAGCTGAAAGTTTACAACACTGCACATGTCCGGACTTTTATTCTGAATAAAAGTCCAGTGCATGTAAACACTTTTCATGATCGGATTGTGTCCATGTAAACAGTACATATGGATTATTTAATCTGAATACATTTCAATCTAATTAAAAAATGTTGTGCTTGTAAACATAGCTTCTCTCTCTCTCTCTCTCTCTCTCTCTCTCTCTCTCTCTCTCTCTCTCTGTGTGTGTGTGTCAGGAGGGGACACCTCATACCTGTTATCAGGTAACAACAGGTACAGGAAGTGACAGCGGTCAAAATACCTCAGAAACTCCCCCAAATAAGCAAACTCTATGAGATTCAGCATTTTATACTGGATTACTTTTTGTTTGGTTAATTCTGCTATTCCAACATTTCCCCTACCATTATTCAAGGCTCCCCCTCCCCCTCCAACAAGACGGGCCGCCCCTCCAAGAATTTCACTGCATGTAGTCATTTTTATTTAAATATGGCCAGATCAAGTCGAGAGATATTTTTGTGCCTCTCCATATCCACCTCTCACCAAACTTGGGGAAAAAAAGACGATGCAGAGTGAGGCTGAGCGCTGTGTGTGGTCCTCACAAAGACAGAAAGACGTGTTTGTGTGTGATTAGATGCGCGATTAAAACTCTGCTTTTTTAAATCACGTAGCACCGATGCGACAGCTTTGCAAGCTACTTTTTCTTTCTTTAAAAGAAAATGCGACAGGTGAAGCCACAGCACGGTTACCTTTAATAATAATTACTTTTATATATTACAGCAAGAATCACCAACACAGACCCCGCGTGCAACCAGGTTCCTGCGAGTCCTTTCATGTTCTCTAAATAGCGCTGATCAGCAGCGCAGCTACGAGCTAATGTAATGTCCCACAACTTTTAAAAAAGTAACTAGAGTAGTTTATGAACTCAAAACACCATAAATTCAGACAGAATAAGCTGCTGTTAGTCTACAGGTCCTGCTGGACTCAAACACCGAGCTGAGCTTATTATATTAATTGACACTTTATCTCAGAAGCCTGTCAGTCGCTCATTTATTTCAGTCAGTTGTGTTGAAGTAGGGCAACATCTACAACATGGACCGTGGGTCATGAGGACCAGGGCTGAAGCCCTCTGGTTTAGATAATCAAATGTTAAAAGCTGGAGCGTTGCCTGGTGCATGCAGGAAACAAGCAGCGCCTCATATTTATCATCTCTGCACAGAACCGTGGCCGCCACCAACATGAACGAGACGAGCAGCCGCTCACACGCCGTCTTCAACATCATCTTCACTCAGAAACGCTTTGACGCAGAGACTGACAACACATCGGAAAAGGTAGCAGATTTTTATCTCCTCCTGATGGAAATGATTCATTTTAGCTGCTTCTGCTGATCTAAACTTTGACTGCTGGCTCTGAATTAAATCTCAGCCCTCAGTGAAAATCAATGACAGCTTGGAGGTTAAAATGATGCTCGGCGTGTTTAAGGAAGACAGTTTCTTCAATGAATATAGATATTTTTGAGTTTTTCTTTTCTTTTCTTTGAGGATTTATTGGGATGCTCTTTCAGGTCAGCAAAATAAGTTTAGTGGATCTGGCCGGCAGCGAGAGGGCGGATTCTACTGGAGCCAAAGGAACCAGGCTTAAGGTAAGAACGCTTTTAAAGCTCAGAGGACTAATCTGAAAACAGCAACTTGTTTTAGTGTTGAAGCTGTTAATTAATGTGTTTGTGTGATTGCCATGTTTTACAGGAAGGAGCAAACATCAACAAGTCTTTGACCACACTGGGGAAAGTCATCTCTGCCTTGGCAGAAGTGGTGTGTATTTAAATATCTGTGCTGCTTTCTGGGATAAAGTGGATTTGAAGTTAACTAAACATGTTCTTTTGTTGGTATTTACATTTTAGGATTCTGGACAAAACAAGGTATTTAATTTTATTTTCACTCTTGAAAATGTCTATAACCTGCACAATGCATTAGAACGTGGCTGCATTGCTACAAATGTAGGACATCCCTTTGACACGTGCTCTAAACCAGGGGTTCTCAAACGTTTTGGGTCTGGGGGCTAGGGCTGCAGCTAACAATTATTTTAGTAATCAATTAATCTATCGATTATTCTGGCGATTAATCGAGTAATCGAATATAAAAAATTGTTATGTTCTGCAGTAGTTACTTAAGATTATTTTATGAGAAATACAATTATTTAATATTGTGAAGGGGTAATGTACACTTGCTGATGACCCTGCTGCAATCAATTAAAATTACAATACCATTTGTATTAATTCATGCATTTTAAACTCCGTTTATTTGTATTTATGTGTGTGAGGTTTAATTAAAGGCATTAATTAAAAGCACTCTGTCATTGAATCATTTTTAACCATCACTGAAAAATCTAAAAGCTGTAAATTTATTGTCATGGATTGGAAAATTGAATGTCTTATTTTTTTTTTGTTAGAAATTTATTAAGTAAAATGGGTAATATAAACATTTGGGTGCACGTTTTGTAGAGTTCACTTTTTAATAACAAAAATTCTTATTATTTTAAAACTGTTCTTACGTTGGTGCAGGGTTCCCATTTAGGCAATAAAAGATTTAGTCTTGACTGCTTAGCTATAAACAAATATGACAGTAGTAATGAAGGCTAAAATCACAAAAGGCAGCAGTAAATAATTAGAAAAATCCAACTATTTTCTATAAATACTTTTAAACTTGAAATATTCACTCATTTAAATTAAGATAAAAGCTCATCAACAAATAAAAGTGTTTCAGCTCCAGCTGTCGATCTGTTGCTGTGCTTTTATTTTTATCTGACAAACTTACAGTAAGTCTTGTTTTTAATCACACAACTTACACACCGTTTAATAAAACCCCGCCAGGTCACCATGATTAGTCAGCGCAAATAATGTTAGCTTAAATATACCTCCACCTTGTACATCTGTAACATGACAGATTATCACAGATTTAGGTAACCAAAGTGAACGTAAACAAATATCTGTTGTTAACTCAGGACGCGTTCGGTACATGCAGTAGCTGATTTTGTTCCGGTGCAGAAACATTGAGGATGTGCAGAGCATTGCGTGTTGTCGTCTTTTCTGTTTAGTTTTAAATGTTCCCATGCTTTTTTTAATTTGTCGTTTTCTTGGTGCTTCATTTCAGCACTCTTCGTCTTCTTCTAAAGCTAAATATAGCGCCTAGCAAGCGTACACGCGTCGACAGTGTAAATGTTAACAGAAGCGCTAACGTTGTAGCATTGTGTGTAGCACAAATAACATTCCGGGCGGACAAAAGTGCGCTGATTATAGCAGTATGTATTTTTTTACAAAGCTTCGAGGCAGATAATTTGCCTCGAGGATTTTTTGTAATGGAATTACTTGAATTATTAGAGGAATCGTTTCAGCCCTACTGGGGACCCCTTACAGGGGTGAAAAAATACCCGGGACCCCCCTCAAAAACCCTGCTGTTTTAAAAGGTTGTCGTTTCAACCCCTAAATGCCATGGGTGTATACAGTATTTTTTCATTGTTCCCCAAGCTTTTTTAAATCTAAAAAAAATTTAACAATTTAGTTAAAATTTTTTGAGGACCCCAAGATACCTCTCGTGAACCCCTGGGTGTCCTGGGGCCCCAGTTTGAGAACCTCTGCTCTAAACTATCATGGTCCTATCATGCATGATGAGAAGCCCACCTAATTCTGTCAGAATAAAGACCTCATCAAGCCTCTGCAAACACCATCTATGTTCTGAATGTTTTATAACGTAGCAAAGTCCTCTTCCAGGGTGACGGGTCCTAAAAAAGTTTGTGTTTAATGTATTTTTCTTCCTACACAGAATAAAAAGAAGAAGAAAGTGGAAAGCTTCATTCCATACAGAGATTCAGTTTTAACTTGGCTTCTTAGGGAAAATTTGGGTATAAATGTTTATTTTTTATTTGCTTTATTCGTCCTTTATCTGCAACTAAGCCGGACAAAGTCTGGTTTTATTTACTGTGTTTCTACGTCAGGTGGGAATTCCCGGACAGCGATGGTCGCTGCCCTGAGTCCCGCTGACATCAACTACGATGAGACGCTCAGCACGCTCAGGTAGAGAACAGAGCTTGTCCCACACTGATGAGGAATGTGTCTTTAAAGGACAATGAATTCAGTCAAACAAACTCTTATATTGCTGGTTTTCCTTAGAGGTTTAAACTCTGCAGCAGTTCCAGCTGCAGCATCGTGACCGTCAGGGGAGTTATGCAGGTGTGTCGTGTCCTTCTCCCCTCCTCTTGTGTCAACATGCTGTATTATGTCATGTCCTCAGGTATGCAGATCGAGCCAAGCAGATCCGCTGTAACGCCGTCATCAACGAGGATCCCAACAATCGACTGGTGCGAGAGCTGAAAGAGGAAGTGTCCCGACTTAAAGACCTGCTGTATGCTCAGGGTCTGGGTGACATCATTGAGAGTAAGTGTTGAGGATCTCTAAATATTGTTTTTATTTATAAGGTTTTTAGATATTTATTTAAGCGTCGACAGAAAGAGTATAAGCTCCTTTAAACCACATAAAATGTTCTGGTGGGCCACATTTGGCCTGCAGGCCTTGAGTTTGACACGTGTGCAGTGAAACCTTTATTTAACTCATAAAGATACATTTTTATTTAAAATAATTTCTGTGTAAAAGATAATGAAATGAAAGTATTTTTAAAATAATGTAGCTGAAACAGTGTGAAGATTTAAGAAACATAGCAGAAAAAGTCAGTAAATTAGTGTTTGTTGGATTATTTATTTGTTAAAACACTGCTTCTTGGAAATAAATCTTATACTGTTGGAAAGCCTGTTAATTTATCTTTTAAATGATGCCAAATTTGTAAGGGACATGCATTTGCGTGATGAGCAGTAGAGCTGAGTATGAGGGTTGTTCACATGAAAAATTAACCAAATCATCTCTGTCAAACAGTTGTTATTGACTCTTGTTTTGAGCTTCTGGTAGCTCCAGGTGCAGCTATAAGACTTATTGTCAAGAAGCATTGTTACAACAAAGAGATTATTTACCAAACACTAATTCACTGACTTCTTGTACTAAGTATATAGTTTAAGTATATGTATTTTATTGTCTGCAGCTGCAACTTTAACTCTGATGAACATTTTATCTAAAAGATCGTTTGCTCTGTTTTCTTCTTCTTTGTCTCTGTCACTGTTTCTTTTTTCGCCCAGCATTTCGAGCGTCTGGCGCTGACATAGAGGGTTTGAAATGTGTGTGTTCTTGGCTGTTGCTTTTGCTCTGCAGCTTAAAATCAAAGGCGCTTCTGGCAAATAGCGTAGTGCTCTTCAGTGGTGTATTTACCGCACTGCTTTGGGTGGATTTTTACTGAAAGTGACAAAGTTATTGGTAATTTTAGCAGCATGTGGTTCATGTTTGTTTTTGTCCTGGGTTTGATCATAAGGCTCGTTTGGATCATATTCACAGCATATGTGACGGTGCTGCAGAGATCTGTGGATGGCTTCATAGGTGTGGCTTGAGCGAGGTGAAGCTGAAGTGTTCATAAATCAACAAAGCTGAGACACAAAATGAAAGCACAGAGACTACAAGCTGCTGCGTTTCCCCGCCCCTCTCCTCAGCAGCCATGATGAAAAATCTCTCCTGTGAGACGACCGTGTAGTCTTCAGTGACAGAGCGTAACCGTTTCTGTAACAGAAGATCTTTGAGGTGGTCGTCTCGCTTTGTTCTGTAAATTGTTACATTTTGTGCAGAAGTGTTGTGTGATCCAGCTTGGCAGACTGAAAAGCCTGTCCAGATGGGCGGTGTGAGACACTTTGTCAATTTGTTGGTCCCTGCTATTTCTAGCACAATGTTTTTATAGGATTTATGGTAGGCCTCGAGAAACTACAAAATCTGAGATTAAAAACCAAGAAAGGAAATTCCAAACACAATATAAAACATTTCATGTATTGTTTTGATAAAATGTGACTCGTTATTTTTAAATTGATGACTCTAAACCTTTCAAAACTGCCATTCACCATCAATCTCCACCAGGAAAATGGATTCTGTTTTCACTAATATTGGCAAAATATGCTAAACACTTTGCTTAAGAGTTTTACAAAATAATTTCTAGTCACACTTTTCCTGTAAGCCAGGTTCACACACTACGTGATGTTTGAGTTCTTTCACAATAAAAGGTTTTGTATATAATGCTCAACAGCAAGCACTTTAGGCTGTTTAATGGTAAAATTGCTCAGTGACTGCTGCTGCAACCATTGTCTTTTTCCCAGTCGTGCAAAAACACCCAAAAATGGTCTCCTTTTCTTTGCCTCCATCTTCATTTTTAAGTCTAAATTTAACAACAAAACTAAGTTAAAGTTCACAATCCTAAAATCAATGTGTTAATATTATGTGTCTCTACAAACAGTACCACGTAGATTGTGATCTTTTTCAGTTTGACTAGGAGGAGGCAAATAAAGCTCATACTGATATTTCTTGTCAGAAATAATAAATACAGCTTGACTCAGTCATGTGGGGGCCAAGTGAATGACCAATTTCTGTCAATGTTTTTTGAAGAAAATGTTATATATCAATTTTTTCTTATAGAAATACAAATCACCTTTTCTAAATGATGTTTTATGTAGGGTTTAAGATATATATAACGTAAAAGATAAAGAAACAAGTAAATTGTGTTAAATTTAGAAAGACCCATCATTAGCATTCATTTTACATTTTATTCTCTAACAAAGTTTTCATTCATTATTTCTTTGAGATATTTTATCACAATCCAGAAAATCTGATAAAAAAAGAAAACCCTCACTAAAAACCCTATTATTATTTTTTTTATGAGAAGAGAATACAGAAAAAAGATAATAAAATTAGATTCTCTGGTGCTTTTTTCACATCAGAAACAAATAAAATGTGAGAGTTGGCCAGCTGTCATGAGAAGAATGTTTTAAATTCAGTGTGAAGAAAGAAATCATAAAATTATTTTACATTTAAATCATTACCTTCGGTTAACGAGGGCCAGCTTCGGCTTTAAGTTTGTGGTATACAGTGTACCTGAATACATAGAAAAGTACCACATTTTCTTATTTTAAAATGATTTTGCATATGATGCATGCTTGAAGTTTTGTATGATTGTGTTTTCTTTGGGCCTCGCAGCGGCTGGTTGGTCTGTTTGTTGCATCTTTTAAGTGAGCGCGCTGAGTGTGCAGCTTTTTGCTGGTGCAGCCATTGCTTTTATTCAAGCTGTTTGTATTTCTTCATGTGAGTGAGATATGTTTGAAACGACATGTGCTCTTTCCATCTTTATTCTCTTCTCTTCTTTTTCTTTCTGAAAACCTTTGTTCATTTAATTTCTGTCACTGACAACCCCGAACCCAAACTTCCTGCCCTCTCCCTGTGCCCCGTCCCACCCTGACAGATGTGTCCAATTACACGAACAATAAGAATGTAGGCCAGGCTGTGAATCAAAGGGATGATCTTTTCACAGTGACCAATGCAATGACGGGGATGAGTCCCTCTCCATCCCTCTCAGCCTTGTCCAGTCGTGCCGGATCTATTGCCAGCCTTCATGACCGCATCATGTTCAGCCCGGGCAGCGAGGAGGCCATCGAGAGGCTGAAGGTAAGCAACGCATGAGGCGCTATGATCACAAAGTTATTTCTTACAGGCCTGCAGCCCGTTAGATCACATGGAACATCTGATGTCAAAAACTGAACCTTTGAAAAACATTTTTATTATTTATACTGCATTATTGTGAGATTCATTGATTTAACAGCAACGTGATTTATTATTTTCACTTAAACTAAAACTACAAGGGCATTTCAATGTTTTCACTCTTCCAGCGTTTGGGGTAGATAGAAAAGCCTAGAAATCTGCAGATTACCACGCGCACACATAGCTTTTTCTAACCTTGGTGGGACTTTGCATTGACTTCCATTCATTTTCTAGTAATTTCTTTAGCTTAACCCTGACTCTTTACCCTAAAACTAACCACCCCTGTACATATCTGAGCATAAACCTAGCCTACCTCAATTCAAACCTTGGTCCTAAACCTATCCCCCCACCCAAAATCAGCATCCTTTTCACCCTAGTCTATTCCTGACCCTAACCTGAACCAAAATTTTACCAGGAAAATGTCTTCACCTTGTTGGTTACAAACATATGACGGTCCTTACTCTGTAGCAGAAACAAGTGCACACACACACACACACACACACACACACACACACACACACACACACAC